GGGAAGGTTTGTCACAGCTCCACTGCTGACGGAGAAAAGATTGTTTAGGCAGTGAAGATTCACTAGGTATCAGGCTTTCTCCATTCAGCCCTTTGTCACATCCTAAATTCTCTGAAAATACCTTACGGCTTACCCAGCTGGCCCTTTTTATGTCTGTTCAGAGAGATGGTACAGCTCAGGTTTTGTTTCATAAATGTTAGAAAGGAAATATAGTTATTTTATTTACAGGGAAGCTGGGAACAGATACAGAAAGATGTATTTGATTTGAACTACAGAAAATTGCCCTTTAGAAAGAAAATGCTCGGTATTTTCTTTGCACCTACAATGTACGGTGGGCATTCAAATCACGAACAAGCAACTTAATGTTGAGGGGAGCATGCTTGTAAAAATATATAAATGCATGTATATGCACAGGGACAGATTTTACAAGTATTTTATATAAATATATATGCCTGTAAATGCCATTCTTGTCTGATTTGTGGGCCTGTAAGCCATCCTGTATCATTCTGATCCCATCACAGGAAACAGACGGGTACTCAGGCTCAGACATAAAACTCGTGTGCAAGGAAGCAGCCATGAGGCCAGTGAGGAAAATCTTCGATGCTCTTGAAAATCATCAGCCAGGTACCACAGCTCTGAGAATCGCCTCTGGGAAATGCTGATCTATTGCTGTTAACACTGGAAATTATCACGTTAGGCCCAGCAGGTGGAGCTCTGTTACCTGCTTGGAAAAGGTTTAAACTGTGTATTTCCAAAACATTTACCTAACATTTCTGAAAATCACCTTTTTTTAAAGCTTCAGTATCTCTGCTCTCTGTAGAAATATGATTTTTTTTCTTTATCTCACTAGGTTTATTGATTTGGTTTTGTATACCATGTGTTGGTTTGGTAAAAAGTGTGGTAATAATAACAGTATTTAATCAACTCTCTTCTCTGTAGGTAGCAGTAACTTACCCATGATCCGATTGGACACGATCACAACAGCGGATTTCCTGGATGTGATCGCCCACACCAAGCCATCAGCAAAGAACCTGAGCCACAAGTACACAGCTTGGCAGAGAGAATTTGAGTCCGTTTGAAAGGACAAACCTCAAAAGACTGAAAAATTCCAAGACTTCTGCTATCCAAAGTGGCATCGCCTTGCCTCCAAAGGATGGATGATGGGGAAGGAAGCGCTGTTGTTTCTAGTGAAGAGAATGGCACTGGGAAATCTTCACTTCCAGAATTTAATGGGGAGGGGACATTTAGTCATTTATTACCTATTTTCAATGACCATTTGAAAAATGTTCTCAATGGAAATAATACAATGGTGGTTCCTCTATAAGGAAGACTCCTACCTCCATTTTTATGTATAAAGACTTAGTGCTTGCTTGTCAGTCTTTATTCATGACAGTTGTCTACAGGTTTAAGGTAGAACTGTAGCAGAAACCTTAAGAACAGTTATGTAATTAGTGTAATTTTCCCTTTATAAGACTTGCAGTCAACATAACTTCAGTAGCACAGACCTGCACCCTTTTAAATGAAACCTTTGGGACATTAGCAATGCCTTATAAATTTGGTTCGTTTGTCATCGTTTTCAGCTGAGATCATATCTGAAAATTTCACTTTCCAGTTGGTTTGGGGTGCTTCCCATGTGGAAAAAGCAAGGAATTAGGGGAACGTTGCAGACATTGTAGAAAATGAGCAGATACGAGCTAGCGTAACTAGAAACTGCATTGGTCGTTACCCACTGGTTTCCAACCAGCCATAAAATGCAAAAGGGGAGTCTTTGCAGGGCAGTGGTAAATAGTAGCCAAGCTGGAGACTTTGCTCCTTTAACGTGGCCAGGTAAGCAGCCAGGACTGCCTTTTAATCAGCGATTTTCAGGCTCTGGGGTCTCGTTGCTGCCCCTCTTGCCTGGAAACAGTTACTCCCTGCAGCGTGCTCGACCAGCAGCGCGCCCACGCTCGGGTAAGGGTGCCTGGGAGAGATGCGGGGACACCTCTCATGTCCCTGCCCTGCAGCGGGAGGGAACAGAGCAAAGCTGTCGTGTGGGTCCTGGGAACTCGGGCAGAGCGACGGGCTGAACGTGAGCAAGCAGCGGGAAAAAAACACCACAAGCTTCTGAGCACGGGGAGATCTCCCGGGGCCGGTGCTGCTGCCGGTGGCGCTGCTCTTGCAGTCGCTGCCGGAGGGACCCGCCCGGGGGCTGCTGCAAAGAGTCTCCACATTTGCAAGAAACGAAGATACATTGGCTCTTTGCATTTCAGGCACAGCTTGTGGGTGTTCCTGCCTCAGGCCTGTTCCAGCCCACACACACCATCAGTCTGGTTTTTTTGTTCTAGCATCACTCACATTGTCAGAAGTCTTCATGGGCAATGTCTTCATCGCACTTTGCTTACAGATCTCTCGGCTCCTCGCTCTGACTACGGGCCAAAGACCTGACGTACTCCAAGCAGTACCCAGCACGGTTTCAGAATATGTGAACAGCACATGTGTGAATTTATTCAAATCTGCGGGTTACAGTTGATGAGGGAGCACAAACAGTATCTGAAGTTGACTTTTGTTCCTGGAGGGCTTATTATTTCTTGTGCTTCTATTCTGTTCGCACGCTCTGTCTCAGAGTGCAACCAGAGTTTCACATTCATTCATCATGGTGATTCTTCTTAACAAGAACGAGCATGGCTCATTAACACAAAACTCTGTTTTCAATAAGGTTAATACTCCAGTAATGCGTAATTACAATCTAATAATTTAACACTCAGGAGCACTGTAAAACAACTGTAAAGGACTTTGATTATTACAGTTTGCAAATGGACCAGAAAAAAAATATCTACCGTCATTACAAAGTTGGTTCATATTGGGGGATTTAGCACATAGGAAAAGCATCGCATGCTACAGAATTAAATTTCATTTTACAGCTCTACTAACCAACTGTGTAAAAAATGGAATCTGTCCCCATGGCCTGTAAAGGATTTCTCCCACAACATTAAAAAGAAACAAGAAAAAACCCAACAATAGTGAAATTTTCTAACTGTAGCATTAATAGGACCCTGCTGAAGACTAATTTCAAAAATTCGCAGTCTCTAAGGCATTTAATACCAGATTTTTGTTTCTGTACCATTCTTTTTAATAAGGGCATCTAATTAAAACATCTGTAAAATGCTGGCAGTTTTATGTAAAGTTTGAAAAACAAAAAACAGGCTCTGCTCTAATGAGAGGAAAGGTATCAGCAGTAGTTGTTATTATTAAACAATGGTGATATTTTAATTTAAAAGTAACTCCAAATGTGCATAATCTCTAAATTAGCATACTCTGTGAAATCATGACAGGCTGACTAAGGCTCGGCGAGTCTTTGAGGTCTATTTACTTGAGTATTTCCAGTGGGTTGGTTGTTGGGGTTTTTTTTTCAGTTTAGCTTATTCAGCAGCAGAACATGACACCTCCCAGACAGTGCTCTTGATCAGCTACTTCTTGAAAACTGCAAATGAACAGAACTCCCTGGCAGGCTCCCTGTAATCATGCAGGAAAGTGGCTGTGCTGGCTGTAGCCCTTCTGTCTCACCTGCTGGATACCCTCAATCCTCTGCCCTTTCACAACCCGAGCGGAAGGAGCTCACGGCGAGGTTTCTGATGCAAGGCATGCATTGATCCTGTGACCTTAATTTTTCAAACAAGAGTAAAGGAAATCACATGATGCAGATGTTTCTTCAAGCTAACTACTCCCTTTCTCATAGCAGGTGCTCTAGGATATGTTCCACTGCCTCTGGGAAACTCTCACAGGTTAAGTAAGGAGCTGGATTGATTTTGTCTTCATCTGCCGGTCGATATTTACCTGCAAGAGATTAACAAAAAATGCATTTACTGAGCTCCTTTGAATATCTTTTTTTTTCCCTGAAAATTACAGCTGCCTCAGACCAGTAATAACAGCCATTGTAAGAGGAATGCCCACCTGAGGTTCTCCTGCAACAAACACCCTGCAAGTCCTCTCTAAACCAACCCTGAGCCTTGACGAAGATTCCTCCAGGGGCAGCTCTGGGTCAGAATTAGTGTTATTTACACACTGGTTTAATTCTGCTGTACTGGCACTATTTGCTCACTGACTATTCACATATTCATCTTGTAGGGTCTCTAAATAATACAGTTATAATCTCCCTTTTTTATGAGGAAGAATAGGATTACTTGCTTTCATTTTTAACATAGTGGAACTCTGTGGCACAAGCAGCTGCACCTCAGAAAGACCTTACTCAGGCCATGGTGCCATCAATAACACTGGTAACACCCGTCAGTCCCTTATGGTTCCACTTTTGTCTGAAGCAAAAGGACTTTACAGTTACCAGTGTAATTAGTAGGAAATGTCACCAGAGTTCTTGAATGATCAGAGGTTATGTTGCTGTGACTGATTTTGGCCATCTAAGATGTCACAGGAACAATTCTTCCTGTTCTCTGATTAGTGCTTGGGATTTCAGAATCATTAGGGCAAAAACCTCACACCTATGAGATCAGCTGCCCCCAGTCTATTGCTTTATAACACCCTGCCACGAGTTCAGGGTCTGTGCTCTAGCCCTGTCGTGGAAACATTAACTGTAACGGCCTATCCTGACTTAATCGTAATCTACTGCTTGGCAGACTGCAGGTGAGGAAATGCCTGTCTGCTGAATTGAACACAGAACGTGCAGGGTGAGGGGCTGGGGGTGTCACAGCAGCCCCTCGGTGTAACACATCACACTAGCGATCAACCCAGGGCTCGGAGCAAACCTTTGCTTCAAGCACAGGGGCTTCTGTGACCCCAGTGACCACCGAATGCACCACTGCCTCCCAAAAACGACCACACTGTCGAGTACTTACCCGTTCTGACCAAAATCCCACGCATGCCCGCGTTCTGGGCGCCACCAACGTCATCCCGGCAGTCCTGAGACAGAAGAGGAGCCGCGCGTTATTGGTCATAGACACAATGTGATAAACAACTTCTTTATGACATTCTCTGCTTTGCGCATCACTAACCAGCCACCGAAAAGCAGATACACCTGGTGAAAGCTTTTACCCACCTATTGTATCAACTCTCACAGGAACGGTTTTCTACGAACACCATGCACTATGCATTACATCCTGCAAGTTTTGACTTGGGTTCAATTTCCCAGCGCTTTTAGGAAGATTGGTACGTGGCATTTGGGAAGCACGACAGGCAGGGGAGCTAAGTGTTATGTTAAAGAGCGGGCGATAAGGTATTTGGTCCCCACGTACGTCACCGATCATGACGGCCTCCTCTGGAGCACAGCCAGTTCCCCGCAGAGCTTCTAGGAAGAAGGTCTTCTCTGGCTTCCCCACTACTGTCGCTCTGGTGTCCGTCGCATATTCCAGCCCGGTTACAAAAGGTCCAGGTCCCAGTGCCAAGCCATCTTTTTTCTTGAAATATCTGGCTTTGTGTATAGCTATAAGAGGGGCACCATCCAAAACCAACCTAAAGAATGAATGAAGAAAAAAACCACAAAAATTGTATTAAACCCCCCCACACCCAATATTTACAGCTGAAAGCCTGAAATTACTTTCACTTAAGTGGACAACACTGACTTTCACGAAGACCTAAATTATAATGTAAGCTAGCATTGAGTTGGAGAGGTAAACTTACTTCCTTTTCCCCAGAAACAGCTAAGAATCCAGATCCCCTAAATAAAGAATTTATTATCTTGAAGATTTTAACAGGCAACTATTTTTAAATCCTGTCTGTGTCACGCATTAAGCAGCCTCACTTTTGACTAGGGCTAACATCAGAATCCATCTGATTTCCCCACACAAATACTTTACAATATATTAACCGCAGGCAGTAGCTGGAAGAGGCAGTTTGATGGCCACAGCCACCAAATACAACTTTAGTTTTTAACATTGTAGGAATTACAGTAACAGGTTACATTAAAAAAAAGGCACAAAGGTATTAGGCACATTCACATCCCACTGAATTCCCCAGTTAACAGTGCTATTACTGAGCTTTTTAGGAAAAAAAGCTGGATTTCAGCTCCTTGCGTTCACATCCCACTGAATTCCCCAGTTAACAGGGCTATTACTGAGCCTTTTAGGAAAAAAAGCTGGATTTCAGCTCCTTGCTATTGGGAAGCAAAAATTCCAAGTGGAAGGTAGTTCAAAGCAAGAAGTCAGCAGATTTCCAACACCTCTGAGGGCATTAAAAGGGTAATAACACACGGTTATTCACCTTTTAAATACTGTGGCGGCGTTACAGGAGGGTTGTGGCTGGGCACAGCACCGTGAGCCCTGGAAAGCGAGTGCTGGGGTGCTCTGAGGCTGGGAAGTGCTCCCTTCCCACCACTAAGATCCTCACCAGTCTAGGTTCAGCGCAGCAAAAGCCCTCCAGACAGTATCTATAAAAGTTAAGGTTACAACAACAGCACCTTCTTCAGGTACTGGACGCAACTCCAGTCTTTATCTCAACAGGCAGGAATGAAACTGGCACAGCAGATACAGCAAAGCTGAGGGACTGAGGAGAAACATTGACTGTTGATCTTCAGGGGAGAAAGAAGGATTTCTTTTCCCTAAACCCCACCGATTTAAAAAAAATAAAGAAGCAGCAGCCTAATTTAAGAAAACAAACAAAATCCTTGTCTTGCCCCTTCACTGCCTTTCTGGAGTTCTGCTGGGCTCTGCTCAAAGAGGCTGGCTTAGGTGAGCCGTATGCTCCTTGGAGGCCGTCTGCTCCTTCCCACGTGCTCGCATGGGTACTCTGAGCAGTGTGTAAGTGATAATATTTCATTTCACTTAATTATCACACAACAACTTCTATTGAATCAATGCCTTCCAAAGCAGGCTCAACAAGAAGAGAGCTGGCATATGTATCAGTGAGCAGCCAGATATGTTCACGATGGGAGGATGCCTCTAGGATACAGAAGAATTTAATTTGACAGCAGCACCACAACCATTTACATTCAGCAGTTTGCAGGAAACATATCACCTGGGAGAATTCTTTTAAATGTGGCATCAAAATCCCAAGTATACAAAAAGAGAAATTTAGTCTCAGTCATTTCAAATGGTGCCTTGAGAACGGCCTTACTCTGTGCATCTCGTCCGGGGACTCGTACTGGGTTAGATTTACCTAACTTAATGTTGGAAATCAACTGAGTAGTTGCCTGCCAGGTAGTTAGTCAGCCTGGGCTCTTCACAGTCAGTGGAGAGGAAAGAGCATTTCTAGGGCACAGTTCAGCTGTCCTGTTTTAAGCATTTCTTGGGGAAAAAATGAATGACGCCTTACAAGCTCCTCCCCTCTCCCTCAGGAGCCCAGGTAAACAGCTCAGATATAGCACTGGCACTGAAGGTATCTGCATTTAATCAGCATCATCTTAAAGTTTTGCTATGAGCAACGCAAATCCCAAGTGACTCTGTTATCTGAGCAGTGAGGAACAATGAACACGGACACAGCACGAGGCTCCAGAACAGAATGTGGCCAGTAGTTGGCACTTCCCTTAGATCAAACAAAACCAACACCACCACAACAGTTCACCCTCAACAGAGGGCTGGGGGAAAAAGCCCAGAACAAGTCAGTGAGACGCTAAAGATCAGACAGAGCCCATCCCAGGGCCTCTGAAACCCAGGACACATTCACTGAGGATGAAATCTTCCTCCAAGCAGACAAGTCAGCCAAGTGGCTGGGAATGTGTCTGTCATGAGGTTATCAACAGAACTACCGTCCAATTCTGTGTTTCATGTAAAAAGTGCAAATCCAGCCTGGGACAACCTCGGCCACCTGCCTCAGAGTTAGTTCTGCAGGCTTTCCTGCATGTGCTGGCCTGGGGATGCCCAGGATCCTCAGGGACCCTGAACGTGATGACTGGATTCTTGTTTTGAGCGTCGTGATCTCCAGCCTGAGGCATCTAATGACTATTATTCAAGAGCTAATATATCAATGACAGAAATATCAATAAATACAGTGATGTAAGCACTGGAATATATAATGGGTTAAGTTCATGCAGTTGTGAAATTAGGAGTCCACTCATGAGTGTGCTGTAAAACTCACTCTAAAATCAATGCCATTGGCAACATGCACTAATGAGGCAGACAGAGAGTCAGTTTGGGTCAATTCGTGTTCTTATGACGTAGAATTGGCACACAGATACGGCAGCACTGTCATGCTGCTCCACGGAGCCCCCATAAGACACTAGTGAGCAGTAACTGATATTCCCTTTTTGGATTTAGTGGTTATAAAGACAGATTAAGGTGCTTGGGATCAGTTTATTTTTCAAATTCCAAAGTGAAAAACGGCGGTAGTCATCAGCCCATGAGCAAAGAGGGCAAAGGACTCATTGCACATATCGCAGCACAGCAGGGAGTTATTCAGGGTGTTATGACATGTCCTCTTCAGCTCCAAGGCAGCTCTAAAGTTGGTGACTAGCTGCCCGCAGGGGTTAGTGCTCCCAAAGCACTGCTAACTTTGTCACCTCAACGACAACCATGACTGTACTTCTATAGTTTATTTAGACAGAAAGCTATGAAAGCCAGGGTCAGACTGCCTGAAGTTCATGGTGAAGGTCTCAAATCCACCAAGGTTAGCGGCTCTTGGACGTGGAGGAAGACACCATAATCACGCTCCACCATCCTCTTGTTCCAACGAGGATTTCCTTGCACATGGGAGAGGTACAGAGCCCAGCACTCAAAAGGCCACGAGGAGGGGCTGACTTACCGAAATGCTCTGTTCATCATTTCATAGTGGAAGTGCTCGGGAGCCAGTCCTACCACTACTGCGCTGGGGTCGTCAGTGGCTATCCCTGGAAAATCAAAACATGTTTCTCAGCAAACAGGATTTTATTCTTAATTAGCAGTACACAATCAACAGTTAATCACTTCACAGCAAAAATTAGCATTTTCTGATATAGATACATCACACAGATTAGTTTTATGTCTTTTAGAAATGAGGAAAGCATCTGTGGAAAAGGTGTTGATCTGTCCAAATTCCATCATCCTTCACGATGAACACGACTCTGCAGCTAGATAGTCGTTAACAGTGACCCTTAAACACTAATTCTCTCTCTGCCTCCGCTGAAACGCAGGGGACTGCACAAATCACTTTTTAAACCAAATGACTTTTTGCTATCTAAGAATCTCTTTCTACATATATTTATTTGCTTTGTAAGACAGTAAAGCAGGACAACTAGTAAATTCCATCCAATTCTTCTATTCCACCTAGTGACAGAAAACTCCACTTAGGGTATAAAGCCTGGCTGTTGCTCCACAAATCAGTCTGGCCATGATGGCCGAGATGATACCGCAGCATGACCTAGGAGTTTTTAGACTAGATTAGTTTTGACTCTTCTGCAATGTCTTTTTTTTTTTTTTTTAAATGTGGATTGGTCTCACTGAGAGCAGCTTTTTACACCTTGTCCTGCACTGCTTCGGAGGAGCATGACTGTTTCGGCATGGCAGTGCCACATCTGAACAGAAGCAGCAACGAAAGCAGAGAAACAGGAGTACCTGAGATTTTTATTTATGACAAGTTAAGTTACCAAGCTGCATTCTGCACTCGCTCAAGGTTTTGTTCTGCCTTCGCACAGCATATCCTCTACACCTTTACTGGGACAACCACAGCTCCCAGGTCTCCAGAGAGCGTCATCACAACCTGTTGGCTGGTATCCCCTGTCACATGTCTTTCAGTTGGCTCAGAGAGCAAAATGTACACTTGGAGATGCCACGTGGATTTCAGACACCACCGAAAAGCATCTGGGTCCTTTAACCAAAGACAGGATTACATTCATCCGTCTGTAACCAACTTTGTAGAGAGATTAGCCACAAACAGTTCAACAGCAGCCATTAACAAGAATTTAAAGCATTCTCTGTTGTACTTAAATGTTTCAAGAGCGTCACTGAACGTGAGCCAAACTGCTTGTAGCAAAAAGAAACAAAACAATCCATTCAAGACCCAAGCAATACCGATAACGCCACCAGTGTACTCCGCTAATATCTCTGTATTTGCCATCTTTTACAACATAAGCATCAGCTAGAGTGAAGAACTGATGGAAAGATCGCAAATACACGGAGACTAAACTGATTTAAGTACCTTCAGTGAAAGAGCTGCTGTCTCTGCTGTTTCTGACCCAAGAAGGCCCCCCCAAGAACACCAATACAGAATACTGCTGAGGGCGTATTTCTCTGGCGTTAGGCAGAACAGATTATCAGGTTTCATTGCTCTTAGAGCACACAGAGGCTTTTCTCCTGAACACTTACCTTCCTGAAGATTACTGACTAGACTACAACACTAAAATTCAACAGGAAATGTCTAGCTCCTAGCAAGATTAGAACCTACTTAAACTACACAGCCATAAGGATTTTGGTTTATAAGGCAAGGGGCAGGAAGCAGTGGCAAGCCATCCACATTTTTGCTGCCTTGACTTTAAATGGAAAGCTGAATATACAATATATGGTTTTCAACTCTGAATACATTCAAAATGTGTGTATCTTCACTACTCTTGAACCAACAAGGTGGTTAAGTCAAGGACTAATGGTCTTAGCTTGAGGCACCTGCCAGATATGTCCAAGTTAAAATATATCAACTTCCACTCCCCGTATCGTTTAGGGTAACGGGAACATCTGAAAGTAAAGTGAAATTTAACCTGATCTTTAGAGAAGACAACCCAGAGAAACCAGAGCAATGAAGCTCCTGTCACCAATTAACATCTCAAAGTGCACTGACTGAAACCTAGATGCCTAAGTAACAGTAACTACTTGGAGATTGTACCTTTAATAACAATCAGTTATGAGAGAAACGGCCTCCTGCGTGTGCCTATACAGTGGCTGTTCAGCTCCTTATGAGCAAAACCTCTGTAAAATAGCTGAGGAAAACCTTATTTCCAATAAACTGACACATCCTCACCATAGAACAAATCAGCACTGATAGCGGCAATGAACCTCCAATGATCTAGTGACAAGTATTACTTTTTTTTACACTGGAAATTAATAAAAAGCAACGATTTTTACCCAAATTCCTGACAATCTGAAGGCCTTGTCTGTCGTTTCCACTACTCCTCGAGAAGCCATGACTGCTTAATGTCAATTTGAAAATAAGAAAGAATCTTTATGGCTCTGGAGAGTTCCACGTTTCAGGCTTTATCATGGCTAGTGGTATAAATATAATTGTCACTCTAAAAATGGAGAGCACTATGTTTCTTTAGCTGTTCAGCAACTCCCTCCAGCTGTTTTTGGACCACCTCACCTGTGAAATCAGGCAGGGCTTTATCGTCCACCAAGAGGAGAGGCCGCACCTGCTTTTGCTCCAGAAGATTTCTGGCTGCTGTCAGAGATGTGAAGATCTCATTTTCTGCAATGTCAAATCCCAGTTTCGTCAGCCTCTCCAGCAGGTCTCTCTTGCATTCCTTCGTCGTGTTCGTCACAAATCGAATGGTGACGGGAGCGCCACGCAGCCTGACAGGTGAAGAGCAAAGGCAAGTTGGCCACAGCATCCTTCTATTTATGTCTCTTCAGGACTAAAGGCTGCAGGTGAAAAGGCTGTGTACATCCCAGAGAGCTGGTGCCACACAAGAACTGTGAGGTCGTTAACTTCCGTGGACGGGAGGGCAATGCGAAACACATCACAAAAACTACAGCTGCTGGAACAAGGGCAAGTCTCCCTGCTCAGCTTCTGCCCAGAAGGCCTGGAGGAAAATGGTGATTTCAAACTCTACCTTCATACTACGAACAAACACATCTACGATAACACGTCTGAAAAGCCTTTTAATTCAAACTAGATAATAAATCAACCAGCCTTGTATTCTGAACCCAAATAAATAAACAAAATAACCTTGTTGCTTAATTAATATGTTGAACTCTGCATGTTGACTCTGACAGCAGCTGTGATTCACCCGGAGATGAAGGATGCTCAAGGAGCCTGTGTTAGCATGTGGGGATTTTATGCCAGCTTTTGCAGCCGTTTCTCCCTTCTACTGGGGAACACCAGTATCACATAAAACCAAATTATTGCCCTACACTGAAACTAACATGCTACCACACAATCAAATAATTTTAAGCGACAATTTCAACGGCGCTCCCTTTAATTATCCCCCCACCATCACTTCCTCTGTTGCCATAGAAACAAATGCTGGCATCACCACTGCCTGGAGAACATCAGAACAAAGTTGGTCAATGCTGGAGACTTGCTTGCACCTGCCACATCTTTCTTTTGTTTGTCAGACGCATTGACCCTTCTCAAGTATGAAAAGTCAAAAAGTTTCCTGGCTGCTAATAAAATAAAAATTCTTTTTTTTTCCTTCCCATCCTATCACCCTTAGTTTTGAGAGGTAAACCCCAAAATGGAAGCTATCCATTTGTTCTCTAAGCAAGCTGCATTCCAATCACTTCAGCTTCTCCTTAGGAAGGACAATGCCACGGACTAGTAGAAAAGAGCTCGAGAAAGTTCTTCAAACCTCTAAGCAAAAAAGACCTGTCTGTTCTTTGCAGTGAAATGACAACTCTTGCTCTCCAGACCTGAGACAGCAGGTGGAAGCTGATAAACAGCACCAGGGTCTCTTCACACTTCATGCCTTCACTAACCCCCTCCCTTGCCAAAGCCAGGACAGGGCCTGCAAGAACCGAGCTCAGTAGGAAAGAAGCAGAAGACAAAGGTGAATCAGTGCCTTTATAAAACAATTTGTCTTCTGATTCTACACAAGCAACTTCTTTTGTCTAGTCTACTGCCTGAGGATTGGGAGGTGAGCAGCAGGCTGGATAGATACCAAGCTCTTCTCAACAGTATCACCACTTTTTATACACATATTTGGATTTTTGAGAATGCTCTCACCTGGCGCAAGCTCTCCGTGGCATGAAACGCCAGGCAGACAAGGCCCAGTGAATGAAAGGGTAATGAATGAATACCCATTGCTTTAGAGGCTTTTACTTCCTTGTAGTTTTACATCTTTAGGAAACAATTACCTCCTAAAGATGTAAAACTGCAAGGAAGTAAAAACCGCTAAAGCATTGGGTACTCTTCAGCAAAGCACCGACGAACAGCTCAGCTGAGGTGACTTTGCTGTAATTCAGGTTAACCACTTTCCACTTTGTTTAAGGCTGCAGTCCCATTATGAACTAGCTGAAACATTCTGAATATTGAGATTTTCTCCATCTAAAAAAGACTTAGAAAGAACCTAGAGAGTTAGAAGAGCTTGGGGGGCCTCAGGTGATACATGGCACCTATTCGCTATCGAGACCTTTTGCTCATTTCTCTCAGTATTAATTACCTACTCTGGGTGATCCTGCTCTGGCAGGGGGGTTGGACTAGATGATCATCCGAGACCCCTTCCAACCCCCAAAATTCTGTGATGAATACGTGTGTAAAAGCAGAATTTGGCCGTGTATCTGCTCATCCACAACAGTGTAAAAAGGCAGAAGCTTCGGGCCTGTTTACGTAAAGAAGCATATTTGTGCAAACAGCACTGACACAAACTATCAGAGGAAATGGAAAAATGGAACTTGCCTTTTAAGAGCTTCCTGCGCGCCTGGTACAGCTGAGTCTTCAACGTGAAGCGTGCCGTTGAGATCCACCAAGACGGCTTTCAGCGCGCGCCGAGCTGCCATCCTGCCTTCCCCGGGGAAAAGGCAAATAAATGAAACAACAAAAAACTGGTTAGCAGACAATGGATAATAAAAATAAGGAACTCGGTTAAGCGCCTCATTTGTGCCAAGCCCGGTATTACTCAGAACATTACTCGCAGTATTAAATGGGCCCCTTTAGACTGAGAAATAAAAGGCAGTGTTTTAAAAAAAATACATAATTGATGGGGAGGTATTTTCCCAAAGACTCTATATATGGAAATCAGGTGCTATTTGTTTTTTAAGTGCCTTTATTTGTGCACATCAAAAAACTCTCTAAACAAGTAGGACTGCTGGGAAGGGGATCATTAGGTCTGATATTGCTGGTTCAAGGCCTCAGCAAGCACATTTCGGCAAGTCCCATGTACACCAACGGCGCTGTTCAAGTGAAAATAAATACAATACTACTAAGCGATGATACAGTGCTCTGACTATAAAGCTCAAAACACCCTGCAAAAGTGGTTAATCCTCTAGCCCACAAGACAATTCAAGTGCCCCAACTCCCAGGTTATTCAGTGGCTGACTGCCTGCGTGCCAGCGTGGATTTAGTCTGGAAGCTCCCCAGGCTCAAGGATATTCAGCACCTCAAAAGATCGTTCTCCCATCTTGCGAGGGGGACAGTCATGCAGTTTTTCTACAGGAGACTGAGCCCAAAGCAGACGACAGCACCAGGCAACACTGGGGAAGAAAAGTGAGGTTTTGTGCAAGTCATCTGGCTAAAAAGCTGTCTTCAGAAACTTCTCCTTATGTGTGTTTTAAGTGATGTATTTTGTTCCACAGGCAAGTTTGCTGAGCCATCTCTTGGCAACTCCCATATTCTCCTGTTCGTTAGACAATAACGACTCTGCGATCTGTCATCACTAGCAAGATTTTATATTGAACTGTTCTGGTTACAGACAGAAGATGGAATGTGTATGTTCTCCTATAAACCACACAGTGTAATCAACACCAACATTAGAACCTGCCTTAACATATTTAATTTTCTATCTGAAGAGTATTAACTTTGCGGACAGTTTTATCATTGATCAGGATCATGTGAAGTTGGTGTCTCAAGTACAAGACACACATGCAGAAAACTCTGAGATTCCATTTTCATTATTGCTGCTGGTTCCCTGCAGTAAAAGAAAACAAAAGTAAAAATGCTTAGTTTACAGCATGTCTGTTGCTACACAGGCCAAGGTTAAACGTCTGTGATAGAAAGGTGATAACAAAACTTCTAGGGGAGCAATTGCATGAGTAAAGAGGGCACCATGTTTCTAAGACATCTCTAGTCCAACACTTCATGCAAAGTGCCAGAATGGAATTAGCATGATCCCTCATTTTCTCCATGACAAAAAAACTCTCTTCCTTCGAGCACTTCAGCTCTGCCACAGGGAATTTTAAGTGCTGACAGAGATTAAAAAGAGGACTGAATAAGGTGCTATTATATAAATTCTCTAGCCATAGACATGACTGCAGAACGGCTGCACCTGCATGCACAGCAACATGATGAAGAGTAACGTGTCTACATGGACAGCTAAGGACGGGTATAGAACATCTTAGTTTAACAGAACTGGGATTTTTTTTTTTTTTAATTTCTCTTTTACCCTAGATCTCCAGTGGTTCTCCTGCTCATGGTGTATTTATTCGGGCAGTATGGAAGCTATCTGCAGAGCTGGTTTTCAGCACAGCCTAATCCCAAGTATAAAGCTTACAGCCTAGCAAAAAAAAAAACACAACAAAAAACAAAACCGGAAAACCTCCTACAAATATTCAGAACCTCAGTTTACACCATCACGGCCCAACACACGGCGGAACCTCGCACCTTCGCGCTGGCGTTACAGCTACCGCCACGGGATAACTTTGATAACTCAGGCTGGTCAGGTCACGGGGAAACATCCAGTTCAACCCTCGCCTGTCCTGTGGCGGTCGAAGGAGCCTACTTGCCGCACAGGGACTCGTCAAGACACTCATGGCCTAAGGGGCGAGAGGCCTTGTCCCCTTGCGGGAAGGTCTGTAACGGCACCGACGTGCAGGGGCCACAGCGGGGCTGCTCCCCACGGCCGAGGTGCCCCGCACGGCCTCCCACAGCTCCC